TATATATATATATGAGATTATAATACTGTTGGTATATCTTGTGTATGACATGGAAGAATATTGATACTTATGTATTGTACAATCAGGTTACAGTGAAGATATAAACATAAAACAGAAAGTCCTGTTACCTGCACGTACACTTGTCACTTATCTCTTTCATATGTATATATTATTGATATATTTTTCTTGTACATTTTATTAAATTAATGCGCAGCTTTATTAAATATATGCGTATATGCTGATTTGATCGATGATGTTTCACGTTTTTCATAAATTTATCTCCTTTATATAAATAGAAGCATATTTACGAGGATTATTTTTATTTCTGAGATAAAAAAGATTCTTTACTGTCGATCGAAATTGTCGTCGTTAGCATATGTGTATATTGATGCTTACAGCTTAGATAACTTGAGGATGTAAGCAGATCTGTATTAGTGAAAGGATCCTTCTCATCACCTGCACTCGATAGTCACTCTTTCTCTAAGTACATTTATGATATTGATATATCTTCCCTTTACATACTATCAGGTCAGTGTGCAACTCCTCCTAGCAAACGAGAATGGATTGAAATGAATTAAAATGAATTCAGATTTTTAGAAATATTGATTCACGAATGTTAAAATGAATGCTTTTCAATCCTGAATGCATTTTTATTCGTTTATAGAAATTGCATATCTCTGCTTTTCAATTTAAAAATAATATTAGCTTTTTCTGTGCACAACGTACACATTGTGAATACTATTCAATTCAAAATTTTAGGAAATGCATTTTTCAATTCAATTGCATCTTATTAAATTTAATTGAATCCAAATAAATCCAATTAAATCCCAAAAAAGTATTTGCTATTTAAAATACATATTTGGATAGAAAAAAATTTCAATCCATTTTAATTCATTCTCGTTTGCTGGACTTTTATATGCAATAATCGGTAAAGATATATATTAGGTGTACAACTTTGCTTCCGCCGTTTTCCTATAGATGGTTTTAACGGTAAGTGGTGGTCGAAATAAATAGATCATAGACATCATACAATAAACTTGGGCATTTGTCAACATAACCCCATAGAAACATTAGTCGATTTGTGTCTGCATCATAAAGTTATTCTCGATTGAAAATGTCAGTTTACGAGCCAAATTCTCGTCATTTGCGGGAGGTTTTAATTTTTTGCTTCAATATGAAGAAATCTGCGGCTGAGGCTCATCGAATGTTCTCAAATTCTTATGATGAGGCCACTATTAGTGAAAGAACGTATCGTGAGTGGTTTCAACGCTTCAAGAACGGTGATTTTGACGTCCAAGGTCATGCTCTGTATTTGGTGGGACCAACTCGGCGTAGTGTATTATGAACTGTTAAAACCGACTGAAACAATCACAGGCGATCGATTGCTCAAACGCAATTGATGCGTTTGAGCCGAGCATTGAAAGACAAACGGCCGCAATACAACGAGAGACACGATAAAGTGATTTTGCAGCATGACAATGCTCGACCCCATGTTGCGAAAGTGGTCAAGACATACTTGGAAACGTTGAAATGGGAAGTCCTACCCCACCCGCCGTATTCTCCAGACGTTATTCCCTCAGACTATCACTTGTTTCGATCAATGGCACACGGCCTGGCTGACCAGCACTTCCGGTCTTATGAAGAAGTAAAAAATTAGATCGATTCGTGGATAGCCTCAAAAGATGACCAGTTTTTTCGACGCGGGATTCGTATGCTACCCGAAAGATGAGAGAAAGTAGTGGCCAGCGATACTTTGAATCATAAATGTATAATTTATTATACAGTTTTTTACAATAAAGCCTCGAAAAAAAACGGCGGAAGCAAAGTTGTACACCTAATAATACGCTCTTGTTTCAATATAAATTAAACATTAACAGTATAATAAATGTGAATAAATTACATTGATTGCATTTTCTTAATTATATTTATTTAATAACGAAATTTTACAATTTATTCATTACGAAACATATACGCATAGGGTTCATCTCTATCCGTCTTTATCATTGATAGATCGCAATAGAAATAAATAGGATGTCATTCACGAGCTATTAATGAAAGCGAAACGATTAGTATTAGTTTAACATACAAATGTATGTATAGTTTTAAAGATTATTGTAAGAGACTTTTTTATCCTTTACGAATAAGAATTCGAAAAAGTCAATTTGACAAATAAAATAATATTCTAATTAACTTATAATTACAAACAATAAATAAAATCATTTATTCTTTTACGCTTCTTTATTTGTTTAAGATTTATGTAATATAATACATATTTTATTTTCAAATAATTTAATTTTTTTTGCACGTAGAATATTCAAATCTTGCCAATTCTATTTTCTTAAATTTTGAATAATGAATTTTCCCAAAAAGAAAAAATAAATATTGTACTTTATATGAATGAAGGTAATGAATGAAGGAAGCTGGTATATGTAATTTTACAACAAATTCTAAATACATATGGCAAAATTAAATTTCTCTCATATCAGACAGTGCCTAAAAATTTTCCATTGTATCTAATGAGCACGGAGGATGGTAAAAAAGTTCGAATTTTAGTCCCTGTGAAATACTACCGAATTAAACTAGTTATTTGGGAACCACCAATAAAATTGTAAAGATAGTTTTATAGCCAATAAATGCAGAGGAAAGTAAATTTTTATGTTATATCTTAGTTTTCCTTTATAAGTTGAATTTTCGTATACGCTAGATCGAATTTATCATGAATCGAATGTAATGTAAAGTTTCTTATAATGATTAATTGGTACATAAAGTTTTGAGTGCGAGCTTGGCGTAGCGCACGAGACTGCTATGTCAGAAATCCCAGGTTCGTTTCGAGGCAGAACCGAAAAACTTTTGCTCTTAGCTCCTCTCGGCAGGCAATGGCAAACCATCGAGAATATCTTTGCCAAGAAGACTTCTTTAACAAAAATCATTGTTCGGAATCGACGTTAAACAGTAAGTCCCATATGATTGTATACAATCAACGTGCGCATAATAGGCATATGAGAGATTTCATGCTCAGCCACGAACAATAGGATTGAAATGATGGAAGGTTTTGAAAGTCACTCATCATGAATCTGCTAAATGACATTATGGAAGTAGGAGATTTAAAACGGCGTCCTTAACGTAAAGTTTTATATTTAGATCACAGTAATCGAATTTTTTATCAAAATCAATCTGAGTGTGCTGTTTGAGACATGTTGACTATAAATTTATATTTAAATAGAAAAATTAATAAGCAAATCCAAAATGTTTGTGTTTGATTGAAGTCAAAATACACTTAATAAAATTCTTAATATACTTAATGAAAAAAGGGTGAAGTGCCTTGTGTCCTTTGACATTCTTTATTGCACAGGCTCTAAAGCAGAATTAAGAAAAAGTTAAAATAAAAAAAAAAAATCTGAAATAATGATGAATATTAGACAGCTGTATGTAAATTTAATTATTTACTGTTAGCTATTTCTCATGATTACTTCGAGTACGCGCAGTAATGAAGGTGTAACGCATTTATTGTTTGTCTCTATCTGCAGGAGAAAACATCCAAGTATATAAGATGGAATGATTTTCTAAACTTCTAATGATTATCATAAAATTACGTTTTCATTTTTTTTTGTGTATCGATTTCATAGTTCTAAACTGGCTGATTTGCGTTTTACAGTATTGCTAGTTTAAACTTGTTATAGCGATTCGAAGTTTATTATTCAATTTACAACTTTGTTTTTAAATTTACAATAAAATCAATTTTTTACAGATTGTTTTTATTTTTTATGAAAAATCAGTTTTATTCAGTAAGTATACTTACCATTGAAATACGCATTATACTTATCATCAAAATATAATTTGGTAAAAAGTCATGCACTTTAAAACAAGTTATTCTAAAACGATTTAAAGGTGATATTGTAAATATCACTTTTTTAAACGAATGAATAATTAAACTTTTTTCCAATTTTCTGAAAGCTTTCTTGCTAAGCTTTATCTCGCACATCAATTTTTATTTGAGAAGAGTGAAACGATGAAACGGACAATCATTAATATAATATATATAAAATCATAATATATAAAATCATTATAATATACTATTGTTTAAATATAAATTCAATATTAAATATTAATCATGTAATAATAAAATAAATCTTAATAGATTACATTGATTGCATTTCTTTAAATTATATTAATAATACAATGACAACATGATGATTTTACGAATTTGTGGTTACAAAACATATGTAGTGTCCATCTCTATCTTTATTCGATAGATTGCAACAGGAAAAAATAGGACATTGTAGCGTTCACGGACTATTAATAAAAACAAAATAAATAGAATTAGATTAATATGTAAAGAGTGCAGTTGTAAATATTATTAGTAATGTATAGAATTTTCTTTGCAAAAAAGCCTTGCAAAAAATAAAATTGCTAACAATTTGGAAAAATCAAATTCATACAAGATAATCTTCCAATTCTCTGATGAAAATAAAAATCAGATCATAAATCGAATGTAATGGGAGAGTAATAGAAGCGTAAACGAAACTTCTAGAAGGCGAAAATTGGAATAATGAAATTGTAAAGAAACATTTGCGCCAATTTTGAGGTTTCAGTTTTCATCTCCTAGAAGTTTCATTTACGTTTCTGTTATTTTCCCGTTACATTCTTACGCTGATTTTTATTTTTATCAGAGTCGACATAATTGGAATTTGAAATCTTGTAATTCTATATTTTTTTACTCGTTTTGGCTAAATTTTATAATGTGTAAATCGTATATATTTTAAAATAATTTTAACTTTTTTGCTCAAGTATTAAATTCAAATTTTTTGGAATTTGTATTTTTCTCAAGTTTTAAATCTTTTATCTTATTTTACAAAAATAAGATATCGATGCTGTTTTAAAATAAAGGTAGTGAATAAAACTGAAAGTGATTGGAAAGTTATAAGCTTTCGCTCGCAAGGGAACTTTGCGAAGGAAACTTTGTCAAATTATGATTTTAATGAAGCTTTGCATACATTAATAGAAATTTATAAAATATCAGAGGAAAGTTTTAAAAAATGAGCAATTTCATCGATTTCAATAACTTTGACATATATATATGTTATTCGTTAAAAAGATATTAACAAAAAAAGATTTCAAAAATAATTTCTTTTTTTTTATTATATAGAATTTTATCTATTCTATTATATAGAATTTTGGTTTTTCAAATTCATCTATTTACATAAGCTATGTGCAAAAAAATTTCATAAAAATCTGAATTTGATACTTCACGGATATTTTTGTCAGATAAACTCGACTGATTACACAGTTCTATAAAAATTTTTTTCAAACCGAATATGACTAGTTATTTTCTGTAGTTCTTTAAATGGATAAATACTAAGCTAATTTTCAAATTATTCCATTATGTTATAATTTTGAGAAATTTAATTAAAATTATAAAAATTAAAATTATAAAAAGATATATTTTTTACGTATTTTTTACGTATTATAATTTTGATATGTGATGTATTCGTCGACATATTATAATATTGAACGGAGCATAGCATTGAAATCATTTGATAGAAAGAAGTGGCTTGAATAATGTGTGGATAGAATACATTACTATTTTCTCTCTTGAAACAATTAAAATTCAAGCAATACAATAATAGTATGGAAGAGGGTTCCATGGTTTCATGCCTATACAGATGTCCCGCAATTTTTAGCAAAGTGCTCTTATGTAGATAGAATGGACTAAACTGATGACCCGAAAAGTCCTCTATCATTTTGCAATTTTCTCTCAATGGTTAATGAGATATTAATTTATGAAAATAGTCAAATTCATGTTAAATGCAAGCGCGTAGCGAAATAAGATCGCCCAGAGAAATGCACATTCTTTGTCGCTAGGCGCTTCGTTTACTAGTGATATTGACATTAATGTGATGACCTAATGACGACTAAACGCACACTTCACGGTCTCGCTTGCATACGGAATTTGATGGGAAACCAGGCTATTTTCATAAATTAATATCTTGTTAACCATTTCGAAAATTGCAAAATGAGGACTTTTCGGTTCAATTTAGTCCGCTCTGTCTACATAAAAGGCTTTGCCAAAAATTGTGGCTAATCTATATAATTTAATAAATGTATACTAAAATTTAAATCTGCGTTTCAATTTTTCTTCAACATCGGTACGAACTTTCCAATAGAACTTTAAAAGTCAAAAACTTCAAAAGTCAAAAAATCTTTAGTCAAAAATCAAATATAGAACAAGTGTGATTTTTTCGAGAATCCAATTAGAACAACAAGTCATTATAATATCAAAATAATGTCAAAATTCTAAAATGATCATTAAAAGTCATTTTTTTAAATCATTTCCGATTAGATGATATCTTGTATGACGGTTGGGTTATTATAGACGGTTATTATAGACACAGTATAAGTACATACATATAGTATGGACACTAAGCGTCAACACCTTTGATGTAGTAGGTCCCAAGTCACATGATTCGCCGTCATGTTGTGGGTTGGAAAGGCGCTTAAATTTGATAAATTTGATTTTTTTTTTAATAAAGCTACAGAACGATTTTTCTAAAAAACAAAACACAATTTTCGTGTCACGAAAATTGTTTATAGCGAGTATATTTTTAAATCAGAATTATATAATAATTATGTTAACAAACTCATTATATAAAGATAATATTCACATTAATAATAATAATAATATTATTAAACAGTAATAAGTAAATTAAAAATAATAATTGAATATTATATATATAATTAATATATAATTAAATATTATGTGAAAATTGTAATTGAATATTTATGTATGAAAAAGTAACATATTGCATGAAAATTGTAATTAAATGAAGATATAATTTAATAATATATGCACACACACACATACACGCGCGCGCGCGCGCGCGCACAAATGCATTTATTATGAGAATATCGTATACAAATATAACATACATCTACACAATATAGCATCTATGAAAAAATTTGATTTAATTTTTTAGTAAAATTTAATTTTATTAATCCTTTATCCTCCTTTTCTCTTACAAATTAAAAAAAAATTAAGCTTTGTACGAACGACGTATCACGGCTCTCACCCGTGATACTCATATTTGGCTCGATTTCTTTACCACAAGTCTCGATATTGTAGACGAAAAGATTAATTATATTTTATGGAAAGGAGATCCAACTAACCTAACATGCAATTTCAACTTACTGAAGGCAGCCTATTTCTGATTAGAAATCGACGCATGCGCACTAAAAATTGGACAGTGAAAAAGTTCAGTGTCCATACTTTTTACACTTATACTGTTAGATCGCTGTATAGAGTTTTTATTTCTTATATAGAAATGGCATGGTTAATTTTTTTGCATGCTTATAGGCCATTTAGATTAATTCCGTTTAATTATAATAAAATTTCTTCAGCATGTCATATATTAATAAAACATATAAAATAATCTTTTTTTATAACTACTGAAAATTTTTCAAAATTGTGAGAATAATTTGAAAATCAGATTTACGTCCAAAGTTATATAAGAAATGAATAGGATTAGTCTGTTCTGATGATTTTTTTTATTGAACTGTATTATAATCGAAATACTTACATTAGTAAGCTATATAATATATATAATACTTACATTAGTAAACATGATTACATCGACGGGAGAAAAAAAAGCGTTTACAGTCATTGGTTTTTGCATCATTATTAGAATAATATTTGTCCTCATATGATGATCGAGACTAGAATTGGGCCATTTGCAAAAGTATATTCCTTTACGAAAATCCTCGCCCTAAATATATTCAGAATGGTTAATTTAAAGTTATATAATAACCATTTTATCAGATTATAAAAACTTACCGCACTTGTGAGAACAGTGCCATGCCATGCGTATATAAATGTTTGAAGCAGTTTTATTACAGCATATACTAGAGACGCGGACACGTTGTAAAAATTATAGTTCGGTAACTATTATAAACGTTTAATAATTAATATTATATCAATGAATATTTGTATATTATGTGTGTAATACTATTAGTTGAGTGAAAAATTTGCAGACACAGTGCAGTCTTTGATTTTATATTTTGACAGATTACGACTGCATACAGCACATAGTAGATTAGGTACCGTCAAATAAATATAACATTTTGTAATAATATGTTTACATACTGATATTAAGTCGTACATCAATGAGCAAAGAAGTACGGCATTAGTGACAATATGCCAAAAGACGATCGGTCCGTAGATGTGCTCCAGCGTATTGCGACATTGCAGTAGTTTCTGATGTTTCACCACGCATGTTCTCAGAATATCCGAAAATTTCTCGGTGGGCAAAGGATTCGTGAGAGCGAAGGTCATGGCGCGTATTGTTGAGCTAAATTGATAAACATAAAAGCCAAAAGCACTGTCGACACCGCACGCCGTCATGGTGCTGAGTATTATTAGGCTTGTCTCGTAAAATAGATGTAGATGATATAAAAAATTGTGGGGAATGGGCCAGAACCATCCCACTCCTCTGCTGAGCGGCAGAGTATAGTTCGTAGTTAAATGAAGGTAGAGAAGATTGTGGATTATAAAGATATACGTAGAACCAAAAAATGCAAATATTACTACTACCAGGATGACGAAATATGTATATGCCAGGATATATATTGTGCGTAGGGACGAAAATATTATCATCTGAATTTTTTCATTCTTCATTAGCTCCTCCTCGAAAAGATTATTCAGTGTCCGATGATAATTTATCAGAGAGTCACGATTTATCATGAAGGTTACCACCTTAAAAAAGACCAGAAATGCATATTTTTCCCGTGCAAAGATTGATGTAGTATCTTTAATTAAACGATTTTAAATTTGTAGAAGAGAAGATGGTATTATGGCCAGTGTAGATAGATATTGTGCCTCCTCCATTTAATATCTCCGCTAATATATAGCGAATTCTAATAATTATTTATGGAATTATTTGTTCAGCTCGTCGTTACACCGTGACACTAATATATTAATACTCAATAGTCAGCTTATTATTAGGAATACACTGAATATCCGGTATCCGGTATTATTCGGTACTTTTTTTACTATTCAACCGGATAATCGGATATCATTAGAATTCGGGAATATATCCAATTGAATTTGATATCATTAAATTGTTGATTTTTTTATTATATAAATGTTCTAGAAATAAATATGCACATTCATGCTATAATACATTGTTGCAAAATTTTTTCCCTATAGGCTTTTTTTTTATTTAGAAAACACTTTCCCGGAATTTGGTCGGATATCCAGAAAATATTAGATATCCGACTAGAAGAAATTGCCGAATATTAATTATCCGATGTTACGTTCTGTCCGGATATCCAATATCCGATATCCGATAATTTTAAGATCCGGTGTATCCCTACTTATTATAATGCATTTTTTCAAGTATTTCGAATCATTTTTAAGATAGGATTTAATTACGCCTATATACTTTCTCGTTTTTTTTTAATTTAAGCATATTATTACACGTATATTTGAGTGTGTTGTTATTTAACACTTTATTTAATTGTATATATTTTGAGTTATGCAAATTTAAATAATAGTATGACATTTTGCTAATGCGGCCTTCTATGTGTATTGATTATTCTTACTTTTTTGAGATTTTTGTATTAAAATAATTATTTCATAATCGATTGTAGCTCTACTGTTAATCTATAATTTATATTACGTATACTATATTTGTAGTACTGAGATTTTTTAGTACTGACAATGAACAGCTTATATGCAGAAGTTATATGAATGTATGTATACATGTATTTATTTGCATACATTCTAAAATGTTTTACTTTTTTTGTTAATTTTGTTACCAAATAACTGTTTTCTAAATAAAACTAATTTTTTAAAGCTATTTTTATGGAAGGTCACACTACCCATGTTTTTCTTCGAGTCACTATGCAATGTCGCCACATTTTTATTAATAGAGTATTCTCTTTTATTAATAGAGTAATAAATAGTTCGATTTTGAGTCCATAATCGATTCAAGTCCAAGAACGTTTTAATGAATGTAATTATTATAATTTTAAACTTAAATATTAATTATTAACTAAATTATTGTATAAAATATAAATGCCATAATACCACTTTCTCTTCTAATATTCGAAATTTCTTTTTTTTTTCAAAACATGTTACAAAAGAATAATATTTATTGAAACAGTGTTTATAAAAAGATTAATCGATGCACCAGATAAATATGTTTCTTTCTTATAAATTGTTTCTGTTGCAAATTTTTATTTTGTTTGATTTTATTAATCTAGATAAAATCTAGTCTTGATTTTAGTGGATTTTTTAATAAATGTTAACAAGTGTACATAATACAATGTTAACAAATACATATAAGAATTTATTTTTAAAATAATTGAATAAATGTAATTTTGCAATCTGTGTGATTCTATGAAGTTTAATATGCATAAATATACTATATTATATTATATATGTACATTAATCTCTAGAGGATTGGAAGCCGATATATCGACTTTTGACGATTTAAATACATTTTTTTTAAATTTAATTTTTTTATAATATTTCAGTATCTCATACAAATAAATGATAGCGAAACGTTCTATCTGTAATGAAAGAAGAGGGAGGAGGGGGGGGGGAGAGAAAATTAGCTTTAATCTTGCCGAAGCCTCTACCGAAGTCGTTACAGATAATTTTTAGTTGTACTGTTAAATCTAGTCGTACACTGTTAAATCTATAGTGTCAAATTGAACCTAATGTGAATCGCTACTGCTAATATATCATTATTTTTTATTAAACAATAATTAAATTTGACACTATATTGTGTTAAATTGACTCTCTATGCGTAAGTATTAGTTACTGTATAATATCAATATATAATCATTGTTTTAATATAAAATAACGAAATGATTGAGTAGGAGCAGTGGCGACTAGCATTAAATTAAATTTGATACTATAGATTTAATAGTGTACACAATAGACACAAACTTTCTATGTTGTTTCATGTTTGATGTAAATAATATTATTTTTTCATAAGAGCATAATTCACTCTTATATCTTAAAAATATATAATTTTATATTTTATTTT